TATTTCCTGCTGATCACACTCAAGAAAACTCTGGGAAGCTGTGGGGGTGGTGGGTAAATGCCCCACAGAAATAGTTGCTCTTTCTTTTCTCCCTTGGAGCATGGTATATTTTGCTTGAATTGCCCTGCACTCAGGTATACCTGCTGGCTTTTCATGGCCCGCACTGGGGAAGACATTATACTCTAAGTGATACTATATTTATCTAAAGTTTGTTAGGTGTGACCTTTTGGAGAAGTCTCACAAATAAGATTGGCTAAATCTTTGGAACAGCTATTCTTTGGATCCAGTGGCTGTTGCTCACTGGCTACAATGTTAGCTCAACAATACTTAGCGTCAAAATGTGATCCATTCACAGGGCTTCTAGGGCCTGGGGTACTCCCTGTTCCTGTTTTCTACACCGGCACTTCTTCCTTCTGTCCTTCTCATATCTAATCATTTTCATCTGGAGTTGTATGTATGCTTATGAGCTGTCTGAAGTCCTTTCTGGAAAACTGTGGAGGTGTAAAGTGCAAGCATACAAATACAACATCTACAGCGGCTTTAGCATTAGTAATACAATTCACACCTAGCTAGTGGGTATGAACTGAGTGTGTCCAGTCTTTCTGTCCATGTCCAATCTGGCACCTTAGTTCACTCTTCATTTTTCAGGCAGTATGGATTTACATTTATGTATTTATAGATCAATAAGTCTAAAATAAGGGCCGCAAAAGTAAAGGAACAGCTTTGGAAAGGCTGCAGGCCTTTTGGTAGGCTCTAGGGAGAATCCACGATCTTACTTCTCCCTGTTGATTAAGGCTACCCATTTCCACTGCTCATGGTCTTCTTTGTTCAAGCAGCAGTGGTCAGACTTTTTCCCAACATTACATCACTCTGACAATGACTTCTCTGCCTCCCTTTTCCCTTTCCAGGCCTCGTGGTTACACTGGGCTTACCCAAATCATTCAGGGTCTCACTATTTTAAAGCTCTCTCAGCAATCTTAGTTCTATCTGCAATGTTAATCTCCTCTTGCCATGCCATATGATATAGCTACAAGTTCCAAGGATGAGGATGGGGCATCTTTGGAGGGCCATTATGCCACCTACATAGTTGGAAATGTTTTTAATCCAAAGATTAGTTGGGGAAAAATTGGCATTTTAATGATGTTACATATTCCAAGAAATGAATATGAGGTGTCTGATTCCATTCATGTATTCAAATAGTATGGTTTGGGTAATGTGCAAAAGTCTTGAGGAAGCTCTTATTGGATACAAAAACATGTAGGGCTGTGCCCTTCACTGTTATATATTTATTAGGGCCCATAGTTATCATATAACTCCAAGTGCAGCACAGTGCTTTTCATTATTTATATTCATTATAATTAGAGACAGACTTGTTAAAACACCGGTAGGGTATGGGAAAAAGAATAGGATTCTGTCCATTTAGCATAATAACAGTAGCAAATTTTCTCTTAAGGTCTATGATCTGTCTAGCCATAGGTTCTTGCTCAATAATGGTATAGATTTCATCTTGTGCAGCAGGTTTTAAATCCAATCAAGAAGTGTTTGGTCCCTCCCATGACATCCATGCTGCTAATGCACCAGTGGTCATGTCTTGCCAGGCCAGTCATTGTTGTAGTTTGAAGGATTCATTACTGGGTAATAGCTACTTTTCTCCTCCAGTACTGTGCATAGTATCCATGAAATCTAGTCAGTGGGGTAAAGCATATAGGTCAGTACCCATTTGACTTCTTGTTCTATAACTCAAGTTTTATAAAATTCTCAAAGAATTAATAAATATATAACTATAGGCTTCTGTGAGACCTTTTAATTGGATAATGGAGAAAATTATGTCAAACTAATATTTACTGAGTACTTATTATGCACTAAGTATTATTTCAGATTCATTTGGATTAACTCAATCCTGATTTTTTAAAAAAAAAGGCAGTGTGAAACACATGTTAATCCTGTTTTCATTTTTGTAATTGAGGAAACTAATGTGCCAGGATGTTAAACAAATTGCCTGAAGCCTGAGTTAATTGACAGAGGATCCTAAGCTTGTCCACCTGTCTCCAGGATCTGAGTACTTGACTGCACTATGATGCTTCTAACGTCTACTTTAAGAAGAGCTTTCTACTTAAAGCAAATGTATTAAAAAGATTCTCAAGGGTCAGTGAGATGACTCAGTAAAGAAAGGCATCTTCTACCAACACTGATGACCTAAGTTTGACCCCCAGACCCCACATGGTGGAAGGAGAGAGCTGACTGTAGTAAGCTGTTCTTTGGCTTTCATGGGTGCACTGTAGGGTGTATACACACACACACACACACACACACACACACACACACACACATATGCACAGATATACACGCACACACACATATATACACACACACACACCACATGCACACACACAATATATAAATAAATGTAAAAAGGATATATTGAAACATTTTTCTAAAGATTTGAGATTCTGCTTAATTTAAGTTAGTGGAGTGCTTTTCTGTGGAAGAATTAACTTCCTGACTGAATTCAAGGATGTGTCACTGGACTAAATATGGTGCTTCTGGGACCCGATCTGACATTTTGTCTTCTATGAGTACACTGTCCAGGAGGCACTGCATGATTTATCTCCTGTGTAAGTTAAAAGCTCAGTTTTGGCACTGGACAGATCCAGATTTGAATCCTTAACCTTATACTTTCATGTTTACAGGCAATTTGCTACACTCCCTATGGCCTCTGTTACCGCTGTAGGTAGAAATAAGAGCATCTTCTCATGGGATAGTTGGAGGATTAATGAGTTACTGTAAACAATGTTTATCACTATGCCAGGAAAGAGGTGACTGAGCAGGGAATGGAAACTTCAATAATCACCAGTAAAACAACAGTGACAAACAGCACACAGCTATGAAGTGAGCTGTCGTGGCTATGCACCTACCTTGGTTGACACATCTCTATGCAAGTGGAACAACAGAGATTTTGAGCAAGGTGCTACTGCAGTACTTCCCCGAACCTGGAAACTAGCTCTGGGTCTTATGGCGAGGAAAACAATGCTCAACCATTTAAAATAATTGCTGTACAATATTATTTATGATGTGTGTCTACTCCCAGCATGGTGGGTAGAATAATTATTCTTAGTGGGAGTCCAATGCTGAGCATACATTCTCTGCTCAAATCTGCCAGCAATAGCCCTTCACTGAGAACAAACACAAAAGACCACACAGAGGGACCTAAGGAACCTGAGCTGGTTGCTCTTCTGATGTGAATTGTATTCCTGACCTATCCTTCCACGTCTCCATGCAATGCACAGCCTTTCTAAGTGTTACTCTAACCCACCCAGAACACACAACTCAGAAATTTCACTGGGGCAGTCCCATTGCTTAGAACCATGGGGTTTTCTTCCTTTTGCCCTTAAAAATCCCAGCTGAAACTCCAGTGTTCTCAGGTGCAGCATTTCTAAACACATATGGACAGCATTTCCCAAGCTAGTTCTATTCATTTTCTCCACTTTCAATTTTCTCATCTTCTCAATTTCCCTTCTAAGACCTGGTGTATATTTCCTTGATTCAGTTGTTTACCCCAATTAAAATCTACACATTTTGTGGGCAGTGTTTTCTCTCTGATGCACAAGGCACTGGACAGGGATCATTTTCAAAAGAATAAATAGGTGTAAGAGGAGATGTTTCTCGTAAACTGAATCAGAAGCAGGAGGATAGAAACCTGGGCACATGGGCCAGGGCCCTCTTTCAGGAGGGCCTTTCTCTTTAGCACTCCCCTGTACAGTCTCTTCCTTATCCCTCCCAGGCTCATGGTTTACTTACCACCTCAACATGGCCTCACTAACAGTTACCTCCGCTAAATGCACCCCTTATCTCTATACTGCGGTGATATTTTGTTTGTGCTGAAATGTGATATTTTATTTGTATGTTAATAAATAAAGTTTGCCTGGAGATCAGAGGTCATAGCCAGCCATAAGCAGAAGTCTGGCAGTGGTAGCACACGCCCTTAATCTAATCACGTGGCAGGTAGAGTCTCTGTGTGGTCAAAGACATGGCCAAGCGTGGTGATACACACCTTTAATCCCAGTATCTATAGAGACCTGGAGGTCTGTATAGATGGGCAGTGATGAGGAAGTGATGTGGTTGGGCTTAGAGCCAATCAAAGGCAGAAGAGGAAGGCAATAAAGGCACAGGTTAGACAGGAAGAGGCTGTCTTGGGAAGCTACAGCATCGTGGTGAGCTAAGGTTAGTTGGAGGCTATTGCCCTGATCTCTATGGCTTACAACCCCTGTATTTGACTCTGTGTTTTTTTATTTAATAAGACTGTTTAGAAATTCATCTACACTATGCCTTGACTTTTATTTCCGAAGCACTTTTCAAGATTTGAAAATATATTCATTCGCCACCCTCACTCCCCCATTTTTCCAAATAAGATTTCAACTCAAGGGTGTGAGCTTTGTCTGCCTTTCTCCTTCTTGGGTCTTGGGCAGAAAAACACTGCTAAGATTTATTGACTGAGAGAGTGAATGCATGAGTGAATGAATGTATAGTATAGTCCCAATATTGTAAAATTTTATCTTTATGGATATGCTTTATGATAATTTATCAAGTAATAATGTTCAGAGATAAATTACACTTCACTGTAAATAAAGAACACATTCTATTAGACAAAGCAAACACGGCATGAGATCGCGACATTGAGTGGTGATAGCAGTGGCTTTCACACACAGCGTTCACACTGGCACACCTGTCCCTTCAGCACTGGCAAGGATTCCATTTATATAAAGTAACAAACAGCTTTCCAGCCGAGAGCGAGTGCACGGAGGGGTAACTAAGCTGAAGTGCGACTTCCTGTAACTGAGTGACTGGAAGACTGGTACCCGTGCCAGAGGAAGAACACGTTAGCTTGGAAGTCTTTTGTTTTTTTCTGGCTTCAGGCATAAGCTGTGTTGAAAGCTACCTTACAAAAGGAGACATAGGTCAAATATTTCACACCATTTTTTTTTCCATTCTCCTGTTTCCAGTTGAGGCTCCCCTGTGGCCAAACGCAGATTGAAGCCAGGAGGCGGGAAGTCCTCAGAGATGACGGATTTCGATCACCCCGCTGACACGGGAGGTCAGAGGGGATCGGTACCGGAGCGAGAGATGGAGAGAGAGAGCACATGTCATAACACACGTGTCGGTCAGAGTATGGCTTGAGGGAGGTGGTTTTGTCCTTCAGCCATCAAGAACGGACCTCAGGTCATCTGGCTTTGCAGTCAGTCCCTTTACCCGTGGAGCCACCCTCACGATGCACTGGACTAAGTTGTTGGAAACTGTCTACACTGGTGTGGGCATTTTATACCCACAGTGCACCTTAATTCATATTAACCATCTTTCAAATACTCAGCCACATATGGCTAGTGCTATCCTGCGGTGAGCTCAGCTTAGATACACAGTTAACAAATGGAGTTTCCACAGTGAAAAGAGTAATGCCTTCTCTTGTTTCGAGTCCCTGACAGTGTGACTAACTTACAGAATGGGTTCTGTGCGGGCAGCGTAAGCAAGGAGACAGGCTCCCAGGCCAGTGCTGCCCAGAGGGACTGCATTTAGCCTGGGCTGGGGACAGGGCAAGCATCATTGAAATGGAAAGAATGACTATGTACTTTGTTTACTGAGCAGGAGAGTATGTTGAAATAAGGAGGAAGATGGGGGCGGGGCACAAAGAGAAGGGGGATTAGAAGAAAGGAGGAAAGGAAGAGGTGGGGAGGACAGAGAAAAGAAAGCAAGAGGGAGGAGAGTGGGGACAGGTGGACAAGGAGAGGGAGGAAATGGAGTGGAAGAAGTAGAGATGGGGACAGGAAGACGAAAAAGCAGTGAGGGAGAAGAGGAAGGAAAAGTAGAGGAGAAAAAGGGAGCAGCATTGGGGGGAGAGAAAGAGAAAGAAGAGGGGGAATAGAAGGAGAGCCCCCCCTCCATCCAGCACCCGTCACATCCTTGTTTCATGTCATCTTGACAGCAACTTAGTGGAGCAGGTTATATTATTCCTACTTGATGAATTGAAGAGGCAGCCTGCCTCCATCTTAGGCTTAAAAGCCATCTTCTAGTAAAGACACTCTAGGTTCATTCCTGTTTATGATTAAAACTGTTTCTCAAGGATTGGGCTATGCCCCACCTGTCACCTTAACTACAAATGGTTCTGTACTGCCTGTTCCAGGAGTGGCAATCATGTTTTTGTTTCAAAAAAGTTGTTTGTAATCATCTTGTAACTCCGCTTTTGTTTCAAAAGGTTACATGACCACCGATGACGACCTTGTTGTGACTACCTGATGACTACCTTATTTTGCCCACGGTGCAACCATGTCTTCGTTTCAGGAGACTAACCTGTTAGGCTAATATACTGCTCCTGTAACACTGTGTACTTTGCCTTCCAGACCCCGCATTTGGAAACCCCCTACCTCTGAGCTATGAAAACCTTGTCTTTTTCATAGCCTTTCATCCAAGGCTAACCTCTCAAACTCTGCCTTAGGAGGATGTACCTTATGTACACAAATAAAAACTCTTGCTATAATTAATTTGGTCATGATTGGGCCGACGGTCTTTCCCTCCCATCTTTGGGATTAACAGAATCGGGAACCAAGCTCCAGTTTGCAGAGGTGCATTAAGTGAGTGGAGAGCAGGTGTGGAGTTTTCTGTAATAGGAGGCCAGTCTCCCTTTCCTGACATTAAGTGTACTTTGACAAATTCCATTAATCCCCAAGACTTTGGAAGATCTATTGACAAAGCCTGGTGATGAGGCTGAAGCCTTCTGAGGGAGCTCGAGTCTCCACAGAAATCTAGGACTTGGAAACGGGGCTTTCCTGTTCCAAATCTGTGAAGAAAAATCTTCAGGGTCAAGTCATTGAGTTTGTTAATCTTTATTAGAGAGAAGAAACATGAAGTCAGAAAGTTTGTAATCACAGCCGGATTCTCAGCAGTCTGGGGCTTTGGATCTGAGTCACTGTTCTAATTTGATTTCTGTTGCAGTGATAAAACATTCTGACCAAAAGCAACTTAATAGAGAAAGGGATTTATTTGGCTTACACTTTCAGGTCACAGCCCATGATTCAGGGAAGTCAGGGCAGGAACTCAAGCAAGAACCTGAAGCAAAAATGATGACCACTGCTTGCTGGCTTGCCTGTTGGTCCATGCTCAGTTAGTTTTCTTGGGCAGCCAGCCCAGGACTACAAGCCTAGCGAATGGTGCTGCCCACAGTGGGGTGGACCCTCCTACATCAATTAACAATGAAGAACCACCCTTATACGGTCTGGGAAATCCATAAGTTGAGACCCTTCTCAGATGACTCTAGGTGAGTCAAGTTGGTAGTTAAAGCTATCTACGGTAGTCACTAACCTTATACTTTGGGAGAGAGGTTCTTACACTGTTAAACTATTTGATGATCACCTTGCAGCTCAAAAGCTAAGGACTATGGAGTACCAACTATTTCACTGGCCAAGCACATTCTTGAAAAAGCCTATCCATCCCAAATGCCTCTCCTTTCTGATATCTGGAAGCTCAGAGCACCACATCTATCCCTCAGTGAGTGTGTGTGTGGGGGGGGGAGTAAGGGAGGGCGGGAGAGGAATGATGGTGGAGGCCATACATGGTCATCTGTGTGTCCCCTTCCTCCCAGTAGGGTTTTTGCTGAGCTTAGCCACAGCTCTTTATAGGAAAGAGGTCCACAGAAATAGAAAGGGACAGAAAAAAAAGTTACTATCATAGTTAAAAAAAATTAATTTTTTATTGATGCTACTGCTGTTAGTTTAAAAAGAAAAATTTAAACAACTAAAACCATTTTATGTGCATAAGTGTTTTGCCCATATACAAGTGCACTGTGTGCATGTCTGGTGCCTGTGGAAGCCACAAGAGGGCAGATGATGCCCTAGAACTGGGTTTACAGTGCTGTATATGGGTGCTGAGGACCAAACCAATCTTCCGTAAGTGAGCATCTGTTACAGTTTCCTCCAGCCGCTGCTGTGTTCTCAGTGTCAGAGGTAAGTAACTGTGAGGAGTTGGTTAGAGCCAGTCAAGACGATTTCAGCAAGGTGGATGAGAGGGGTGTCTAGTCATGGTGATGAGGAGATCAGCTAGCACCAAGAGGACATATATTTATGTTTTATGTGCATTGGATTACTCAATCTTCCAGCAACCCCCCTGGATAGATACTAGTGTTCTCCCATTACATAAGGATGAATTACTTAAAATAACTTTGAAAGATGCACAGTAAAGATTTAGACCCAGAGAGTTTGGCTCCAAGGTCTGTGTTCTATTGCTTTTAAAGGGCTGTGATTTTATGAAAGACATGGCCTTTTATTAGTTTAAAAATTAAGTGGTCATATTCATGCAAATATCATTTATGACCAATTCTTCTGTGTGCTACTTAGCCAAGAGTTACTCATTTAAATTCTCATGGTGCTTTGAAATTGTTCCTTTGACCACACTTCACAGTGGGAAAGTCAAGGCTGAGGATGATTACATGATTTGCCAAAGGGGTCACGACTATTTATTAGGCTGCTAAGCTTTGATCACAGCCATGGTTTTGGAGCTCCAGTCTGTATCTCTCTCTGGAAGGTGGAACTCTTCGTATCCCAGTCCTGCTTTAATGGTGCACACTGTGTTTGAGGGTTGAAGTTGAAAAGCCTTTGTGTGCTTTGTCTCATTCATTCTCACACAATCCTGCCTGTGGAGCAGCTTCTGTTCTGTCTTCCAAATGAGAAAAAGACTTAGAAGAACTAGCTAATGGCAGAGTTAGGTACCAAACTCAGATCTGTTTGACTCTTAATAGGTTGACTTGTTCATGTTCATTGTTGAATTTTTCACATTCACAATCATCTGTCCAATGTGTGTGTTTTGTGTGTGTGTGTGTGTGTGTGTGTGTGTGTGTGTGTGTTCATTCACGTGTGTGCCATGGAGGCCAGAGGAGGATGTCAAGTGGCATGTGCTATTACTCTCTCTACTTTATTCCTTTGAGACGGGGTCTCTCACTGAGGCATCAGCAATCTTGTCCACCCCCGCCCCACACCCCTGAGATTCAGGTACACATGGCCACGCCTGTCTGTTTCCTTGGGGCCTGGAGAGTCAAGCTCCTCCCACTTGTTCAACAACTACTCTCACCCATTGAGTCATCTCTCCCTAACTTGTCCAACATTTTCCGTCTTCTCGCTCTAGGCTGAGTGCTATTATGTGACTGCTATAGGATGGGGTAGGTTGAAGCGTAACACCTATGGAATAGGAGTATTCTCATTCTTGATTCTATACATTGCCTGGGTTGCTTTATGCAACAACAGTATGTACATGTGGTGGTTTGAATGAAATGTCCCCCATAATCTCGGGCATTTAAGCTAAATTGGCTTGTGATAGTCATGTAGCACTTTTTAGTCCCAAACTGTTCCCAGAGAGCATCACCAATTGATTTGTCATTGTTCAGCTTTAGAACTGAAACCTCTTCATTGATGCTTTTAACATTCCTTGTGAAAATAAGACTTTAAAAAAATCACTCTCTGGCCAGGCAATGGTGGCACACGCCTTTAATTCCAGCACTAGGGAGGCAGGGGCAGGCTGATCTCTGTGAGTTCAAGGCCACCCTGGTCTACAGAGCAAGGTCCAGGAGAGGCTCCAAAGCTCCACTGAGAAACCCTGTCTCAGCCCCCAGCCCCCCCAAAAATCACCTTCTGGTTGAGTGGTGGTGGCACACACCTTTAATCCCAGCACTCAAGAGGCAGAGGCAGGTGAATCTCTGTGAGTTTGAGGCCAGCCTGATCTACATACCATGTTCCAGGACAGCTAAGGTTACACAGAGAAACTCTGTCTCAAAAACCCAAAACCCCAAGCCCAAACCCTTCTCTGTATGTGTCCCTTTAGCTTATTAGTGGACGCCTGGTCTCGTGACTTTGGTGCAGAACGGGGATATTTCCAACTGTTTGAGGAACTCAGGAAAGCTCCACTCACTTTTGCAGTGCTGTGTAAATCCACAGTAAATTATCCTTGAGACCTTATCTGCTTTCCAGTTTATCCTGGCTAACCTTTGATTGTAAACAGCACCAACATTTTAGTACAGATCAGCAGTAGTATTAGGAAATTAGCTATTCACAATGAATTGTTAGCTGGCTCTGGAATAACAGCCTGCTCTTATTGGTTGGCCATGGGACCCTGCCAAGTTTCAATTTCCTATGTATAAAGAGGCAAAAATGGCATAAAATTTAATAGCCCTTTTGCCAAGGATAAAGGGATTTATGCAGTATGGGTTTTGTCTCAGTTCCTCAAAGTTCATGTTTCTTTCTTTTGTTTTGGTTGTGAGACAGGGTTTCACAGCGTAGCCCAGGCTGGTCTTGAACTTGTGTCCGCTTCTCCTGCCTTAGTCCTCCTGCTGCTGAGACTATAATAGTGTGCCACAATGCCTGGATAAATGTGGATAAATACTTACTTTTAGTTATTCTCGACATAGGAAAACTCCTGTACAATATGTTGAAGTGTAAAAAAATGTACTGGGCCGGGCGTTGGTGGCGCACGCCTTTAATCCCAGCACTCGGGAGGCAGAGCCAGGCGGATCTCTGTGAGTTCGAGGCCAGCCTGGGCTACCAAGTGAGCTACAGGAAAGGCGCAAAGCTACACAGAGAAACCCTGTCTCGAAAAACCAAAAAAAAAAAAAAAAAAAATGTACTGGTCTTGTGTAGTGAGATTCAATGGTCAATAAATTAGATAAGTTTATTAATTTCTTCCACAACTGTTTATTGAGCATCTACTAGGTACCATGTATTGAGATTATTAGTAAAGATTGTTAATAAAAACAGACCTTGTACCAATACTAGTGTGGTAAAGAAGAGAGACCTTGAATCAGGTATTCCAGAAGCATGTGTAATTGCACCTGGGATCATAGTTTTTCAAAGAAAGCAATAAGTGTTTTGACTTCTCCTGCCAAACTGAGAAAAGAGTGGGGGCCATGACAAGCCCGACCTAGAGTAATAAGAAATGCTTTATGTAAGGGTGTATATTGGTATTGGGTCAGTAACAGCAATGGTCGTTTCTTGAGCTGTACTGCTAGGAGATTCAGGGATCAGCTGTATGTACTGAAAGGAGTTCACATGTTTGCTGAGACTGTCAGTTATCTATTCTGAAGCCATTTCTGTCTTCGGAAGCCAAGCAATAGACAGCGATTATGAGTTTGAATCTTGACAAAAGAGTAATGCTGTGTCCTGAGTCTGGGCACTGCAGCAGTTAGCAAGCTTAAGTCCGCATTGTATTTTTATGGGACTCAATAACATAGCCAGGAAACTAAACTCTTTCCACATAACTGGTTCTTGATATGTCACGAATATCATTAAATTCACATAAAAGCCAAGGTTTCTAGATCAGAAATGAAGCAACTGTTAAAAACAGTTTAAATGTCTTAAAAACAACTTGTTGATTGGTGAGGGTGGAGGAAATCACACTAGAAGCCTTAGTCAAGGATGAATCTGGAAATCTGGGAATCTTATTGAAAACATATCAATCTTTTGAGTTTTATGTTTTTAATACTTCCAAAATATTTTGGGC